AGGAAAAATAAAAGCTCTTCCTTTTCTAACTTAATTTTTTTCATGCGTATGAACAAATTAAATTGAAATGCTTTTCGAAAATAATACGAAATATTTGATAATATTTGTAAATTTTGTCTATCAAATTTTCTGCAAATTATATATTCACAATAATTATATGCATATAGCATAATCAACTTGGATTTAAACCATTTCATTTAATTTTGCATAGCAAGCATTAAACATTCATGATAATTCATTACATTTCTTGCCGTATGATCGAACCATATTTAATTAAATTATTCTGTTGTACACCAAATACTAAACATTCACAATAAACAACACTTTAAACAATTTATTTTGCTATCAGATATTTCGTTTATTCCACTAATTCATTGAAGCGCTGAAGATGATAATTGATAACAAATTAGTTTATTTGTTTTTAGGTATTCTAAAAAAAAACTTTTTGCACTAAAAAATAATTAATCTTTCTGTCATCATTAAAGCACATATTAAATCATTATTTCACATTTTGTTAACTTTTGATAAAATTTATTTCTAATAGCAGAAATTTTCATTTTTTTTTTCTATTTATTATTAGAAAAGAATGTTTCAATTTTTATTTTCTTTTCTTTTGTTTTATGGACAAATATATTGCTTTTTCTTCAGTTCGTTAGATAAGATAATGATGTGATACCGAGTGAATTTATAACTTTTTCATCTGATATTTCCATTTTTTCTCAGCTTCCTTTTTTTTTTCTTAGTTTCTAATCCACAAAACTATTCCTTCCCATGGAGTTTTTCGTAATTTCGAAATTGATGTGAATTATTTATTAGCTAACATAAATGAAAGCTAAAAGTAACGATTTTCTTAGCTTAAATACTTTTCTAAACATTTTATCACATTTTGATAGAATTGATATCTCATCACCTAATCACAGCCATTTGTTTTGCAGTATTTAGTGAGGAGGAATTTGCACATTTTTATTTTCTAATTTCAGATTTAGCTAAAAAAATTCATATTAAATATTAGCATGGTTTCATGCTTTAAAATTTAATTGGGAAAAGCGCCAAATTAAAGATGAATCTATTTTTTAATTTCAAATCCAAATTAGAAAAAATTCAAGTTAGAAGAGGAATTTGCACAAGTTTTTTTGATTGCAAATTTAGATTAGAAGCTAAAATTAAAAAGCAATTTCCACATTTCTCAAATCATAAATTTAAATTAGAAGTTAAAATTAATGGAAAAATTACTCCACTTCATTTGAAATTTAAGTTAAAAAACAATATGTAATTAAAAGCTAAACATGAATTATCTGAACATTTTGATAATTTATAATTAAAAAATAAATATGAATTATCGGAGCATTCTATCGATCGTTCCATTTATCGTTTTTTTTCTTTAAAAATTTTTTTTTCTTGACACATATAAAATTATTCGTTAAATGAAACGAAATTTACGTTTTTACTTATACATAAGTAATAAATAAAAAAGATTGAAAAGCTTTCATCAAATCATTGTATATAATGCGAATAATTGAATATTAAAATTAAATCTTTATGATAATTCCAAAAAATTCTACTCACCAAATTGATAATAATAATAGTATTATTTAAATTTGATTTCCAGTCCCATGTAGTAGGAAATGTGAATTAATGACTAAATAACAAGAGAAAAAAGAAAGAGATTATGAATATTACAAATTTATTAACTGATGAATTCGATGAATGCGAAAACAAATGGGAAGAAGAAATAAGATTAGAACCGGATTGTTTTGTAAATGGTGCGTTAGCATTCCGGTTAGGTGGAAGCAAAACACGTGGTGCCTTCATACAGCACGTAAATCAAAAATCAAAGCAGGTAAATTGTATAGTAATTAATTACAAATAAATTACCTCCATTATTATTTATGATCAAAATTAAAATTAAATAGGAAAAAAAAGTTTTTGATATTTAATATTTTTCTTTTCTTCTTTTTTCGGATTATCTTTTATCTTTTTTCTATTTCACACATTCATTATATCATAATAAAGAAAAAAAAATAAGCACAACAATAGCTTCCAATAACGAACGGATTAATTAAACTAATTTTTATTTTGTTTCGGTTTTTTAATCTTTCTTGATTTCATATTTGCTCAAAAAAAACAAATGAATAAAATTTACGAGATAATTCATCTAAAATTTAAATTGAATATGTTTAGCTTTAGATTTATTACACTTTAAAGTTTATATTAAATATTACTTAAGCGGAGTAATTTTTATTTAAAGAAATTGAATACGATAATTCCATCTTTAAATATGTTTATCATATCAATTCAAAAAGGATTATATTCGATTAAAAGTTGAAATTTTTTCGAATTCTTTTGTTTTCGGCATTTTTATATTGTTACAGTCAAAAATCCTTCACAAAGGTGATCAAATACTGAAAGTGAATGGCGTTGACGTACGACGTTTGACGTGTGATCAAATTGTTAATATACTTCGAGTAGCAGTATATAGTAATGGTCATGCATTAGTGCAGGTAATTTACAAAAAAATAAATTAATTAATCAAATTCGGCTGAAAGAAAATTAAAAATAAGTTAGAAAAAATGGAATTTAGGTTAGCCGTCAAATACGGTGCAAGGATGATGATACTGTTAGTAAAGATGAAAATGGTAATTTGCGTTATTGTTATCCGGTACACGATAATCTAGCAATCGATAATAGCAATACAACTCTACCGGTATCGCTTTCCGATATAACCGGATTGAGTCAATCGGCAATTTATGCACGAGTAAGAAATAATTCATTAATAATTTGAAGAAGAAAACGTTTTATTAAAACTTTTTTATTTTTGGAATAATAATTTATAAATAAAGCAATTAATTATTTTAAAGGAAAAAATATTTAAATAAGTGAACAAATAATAACGTCAAAAAATGTTAAACAAAAGTAAGTAAAAGTGTTTAAGTAAATGAACAAACAAATAATGCCAAAAAAAAAATGCTAAAAAACAAGTAAAAATAAACAGGCAAATACATAATTAATAAGATAAGTGATGACGCAAAAAAAAAGAGAGATAATAAATGGGTAAATGAGTAAACGAGTAATTATGTTTCGATTAAATAAAAATTTGCAATATTAGGCGGTAACATCCACCGTTCATTGCTACAAAGATTTAACTGGAATTGAATGTGCACAATTGGTTTGCTTCAATGAGGAGAATGAACAGCAATTTTCATTGTGTAAACAACGGAGGTAAAACTTTAAATACAAAAAACAAAATTTAAACAGAAAAATTGAATAAATTGGACTTTTTGAAAACTTTTTTGCAAAATTTGGAATTTTTAAAAGTTTAAATAATTAATTTCAGGAAATTTTCAATATTTGGTTACATTAAGCAATTATGTGATAATGAAAACGATTATGAATATGACGAGAACTGTGCTGAATGCTCAAAATGTTCCACTAAGGTTATGGTATATATGTATATATATATATTCATTAACGATGATTTACAACTCTAATTAATATATCAATCTAATTTAATAGTAATAATTTATGTTCAAAAAATAGGTTATTTAATTAGTAACTTAGTACAATATTAAGTTTTTTAATAATTTCCAATAATAATTGACAAAAATTAAGTAGTAAAATGGAAAAGACTAAGAGTTAAAAAATTGAAAAATTTCTTTATTCATTTCTTAATCATTTATTTGTCAATTATAACTTATTAAAGCTTATTTCTGAAATTAAATCATTGATTTATTTCTTAATCAATTTTAATTTATCAAAAAAGCTGTTTCAAAGTTAAAAATTTATTTAATTATTTTTTTCAGTGGCGTTGGCATGTTGTCAAACATCGTTGGGCAACAAATGCAATGAAATTTCTTCCGAAATCTGCATCTGATTTCTTCGGATTACGCATTTACCAAAAAGCTTATTATAATTTAATTTAATTTCATTAATTGTAATTCAGTGTGCATCAATAATTTTTCGCATCCATAAAAAATAATTTCATTATTTGTAAATTACATGCAAGCGTTTTATTATTAGCATTGCAAAAATGGAAATTAGCAAAGCAGTTTGAATTTTGTTTAAAATCCGAAAATGATTTTTTTTTTTGCATTAATATTATAAATAATTTTGAAACAAACAATAATTTTCAATAATTCTTTGGCAATGTACTAATTGAAATTTAAATTAAATATTAATTTGCGAATTGTTTTGCTATGCAACTCGTCAACTGTGAATAGACAGTTTATCATTAGTTTTTTAATTGGATAATATTAATTACAGATTTGAATTTCTATTCTTTTTAGAAAATGTTCGACTGTTTTCATCTTTTACATTTATTGTGCAATAACATAGATAAAATTGAAATGCTAATTTTTTATAAATTCAAAAGAATTTAAAATTTTCTCCTCAAATATTCCTCTCCTTTATCCACCTAATCATATATACATTAAATTCGATAATAAATGCTAAATTTGAAAAATAATTTTATTTCTCTTCTCTACATTTATCTACAATTTTAATATAATTCGGGCACTAACAAAATTATTGATAAATTTTGAAACTGATGCTGATATTTTAAAAAATTCAAGAATTTTCATTTTTTTCATTATTTTATGCAAATTTTTTATTTACAATACTATGCAAAATTTTACTAGATTTACCAGTATAAAACGTAGTGATATGATATTTTTTGTTTCATTTTATAATATTTCTTTCCTTTTTTCACTACTAACTTACTGGTCTTTGAAGGGGGATGTCACTAATTACTACTCCATTTAGTAATTTAGGAATTGATTTTGCTGCACCATACAGATTAGGGTAACTTTTTATTCTCTAATTAATCAACAAATAAATTTGTTGAAAATATAAATTCAAATGAATTCACAACAAAGTATTTTATCTTTTAATTTTTTTCTAAATTAATTAAAGAAAATTTTTTCATTCTCAAATTACATTTCATTATTATTTCCCAGATAATCTTAACCTAAATAAAATGGAAAATTGATTGATAAAATAAGATATCCATTTTTTTTTATCATTTGATAAAATAATTAAATTTTTATCCATCATTTTTGCTAATTTTACTTTAAATTTTTCCTCTCTCAAAAAAAATCTTTTTTTCTGAAAATTTAAAAATTTCTTTTTTTTTTTTTTAAATTTAGACATCTTGAAAATGAACAGCCATTTCGTCGTATGTATCCAAATTTTGCAACTGATTATATGAGAGAAAGTGATATGTTAGCAATATTTACGCATTGCTATTATCTTAAAATGCGCAAAGATGTAATAACCACGGAAGTTGGCCGTTCACTTTTTGCAACCGTTCATGGCGTACGATATATCGAATGGTATTTTACAAAATCAATGAAATTATTACTTTGAAATATAGTGTTATTGTTATTATTGCGCGAATGGTATCATTCTAAAAGAATGATAATGAATCTGATCATTATGTGAGGAGAAATAATATTCTGATTACTACGTGAAGAATAGAAATCTATATTATTGGATCAGAGCTTACTGCATGAAATATCACAGTTATTTGCATTATTACGTAAAGAAGTTAGATATTAGATAAGATCATTAGATCAAACAAAAACTTTGTTATTTTTTTTTAGCCAATATAATCGATATTGATCACTAGATCAGACAGAATAATGTTAAATATGTTTGTTATGTTACGAAGATTGTATCATTACGAACAAAAATAACAATATCGATTATACTGGCAAAAAAAAAATAACAAAATTTTTTATTTAAATTGAAAAAAATTCGGCTCCTTCTTATTTTTTATTCAGAAATTTTCTTTTT